ATATAAATTTGAATTTGTATTTGATTTGATTTTCAAATCAAATATTCAAATGTCAAATCGAATTGCGGAACCCTACTGTCTAGTACATTAATAATAATATCTATCACGACCTAATGTTAACGCCAACTGCGGATGAATAGTACGCTGTCATCCAATTACTACTAAATGAAAAAGCACCAGGACCTTCTAAGATCTCCAATGAAATGCTCAAACATCTCAGTCCAATTACGAGAAAGGCTCTTTGGTACATCATTTGTGGGTGTCTCAACACTTCATTATTACCACATAGATAGAACCACGCATTCATCTACCCTATACCAAAACCAAAACCTTAGGAATATGATCTCAATAACACCCGTCCCATCACTCTTTTGGAATGTCCGCGTAAAGCTCTAATCAAACTAATTAATAGACGTTTGTCAACAATTATTATTCAACATAATGTTCTTAAGGGACTCAATTTTGCGGGACTTCCTTTCAAATCAACGTTTGAACTACTACACATTTTGGACAACGTCAAATATGATGCTGATCATAACAAAAGAGATCTTTGGATATTAATGCAAGATATGTCTAAAGCATATGATCAAGTGAACCTATATATGCTCTGTAAAGCAATGGAATGATTACATATTCCTAATACCTTCATTCACTTCGTTATTAAAATGTTTGGCAACCGATTTAATCGGATATTTACACTTTTTGGAAATACTGAGTCGTACAGAGTTCTATCCGGTATTGACCAAGGGGAAATATTGTCACTGCTATTATGGTGCATATATTATGATCCACTTCTCTGTAGGATTCAGAATTCAGAGTTAGGATATTCCTTAACATATAAATGGAAACCAAATATTCTGATCAATGAGAAAGAATCAACATTACTCAAAATCGCAACAATGGCCTATATGGATGATACCTTGTGGATTGCGCAATCCCACGATGACCTTTCAAGCATTTTAAATGTAGCAGATAGTTTTTATAAACTCAATTCGATTAAAGTTAACTGGGACAAATCGGTCCTCCTAATCAACAACAAAATGAATAATCGGCCATTTAGTTGTATGATTAATGATACCCCAACTCTTATAACACCACTTTCGTATAAAGAATCAACTAGATACTTAGGTGTTTGGATCTCTCTTTTTCGAAACAAAACTTACACATACAAGCTAGTCCTTAACGAAGTTAAAAGCGCTATCATGATTATGCTTAAAAAGAGATTAACAGACAAACAGCTAGTCTACATTTTTAACACTGTTATCGTCCCTAGAATTGAATACCAGTCTCTAACCTCACTAACTTCTACTCACGACAATTAGAAGTACAGTGTGATGCGCTCTTATATTCATTAAACGATGCTATTATACTAGGTAATTTGACAAAAATTTGTTTATGTACACTTCAACAGAGTGAATGGCTACATGCCTCCCCACGTGTGGATTGGCTATACCTAAAAAGCTCCAAAGTTAATGATTGGATCGCAAATGTTTTATGTGAATGGAAAAGGTTAAACTTTTCGTTATAAATTCCGGATAACGACCACTATGTCATCAGAGGAAGTTCAACCCCAATAAGACAGTTAATTCCACATGATTATAGAAAACTGTCAATTCATCTTAAAAGGCACTCACTTATATTTGCGGAAAAACTATCACTTTCAGATAGGCGTTCTATGCTAAATTTTTATAATTTAACAGTTTTTCAGAATTCACCCAGAGTTGCAAGTGAACTGGCATGGTTTGGCTCGCTACAAAAACTTTTGACTATTGACGTAGACTTTAATGAATTAAGACATAAAACACCACATGTGAAAAACTATCATTTGACTTTTCTCCGCTGATAAAAGAAGCGCAGACTAATCCATATGTAATAGGGTGGAATCTGGGTGATAACAAACCCTTTCTAGGCAAGCTTCTAAGAACAAGTCTGAACCTTGCAAATATCATGCATATTAATCCAACGATTGGACGCAACCAAAGAATCGTATTATCACCTCGCACCAGATGCATTTATCATAATCCAATTACCAAGATTCCCCCTCAAACTAAAGATAGTGAACACCGTTGTTTTTCACTATCCCTCGAGACCTCTGTTTCTTTATTTCTACCTCTCGCAATAATAGTGCTGAAACCTTCCTATGGTGCTCTTGGACTCTTTCTCTCATTAATGATCTTGCTTTATCGTTCATTAATCAACGTAACACTCTTTACCTTCACATTCTGGCAACTCCCTTTATTATTCCTACTTCTTCATCTTTTATCGATCAGTTTATTCCCCTATCTCACTCTCCCACTCTACTAACGCTTCAATCTGATTTTAGTTCTTACACATTTTTAGAATTTTATACAGATGGTTCTTTGATTAATTTCGGCAAACTTGCACTGCGAATGGGAATAGCATGGTTTTAAACAGCTCCTTCTGCACCTCTTTTCTTATTCATCCGCATTCATAGCATCTTTTCATCATCTTCAACTGCAGAACTTGCTGCTATCTTCACAGCCATTCTTGTAGCACTACCTAATTTTCGAATAAAAATTTTTACGAACTCTAGCACTGTGATTTTTCAATTCAACAAGTATAAGCTGCTCTCTTTAATTTCACCATCACAATGCCCGTTCTTAAAGATCGTTAATGTGTATCTGTGGAATAGGATTTTTCAAATTATAAACAAATGTTCGCTCATGGTATCTCTGCACAAAGTACAAGCGTACGTAAGCGATTTTAAATAATGAATTAGTCGATAAATTGGCAAAAGATGCATTAACTTCCCCAGCATTACACTTTACTATTAACGACCAATGGCATACAACAATCAAATGTGATGATCTCACTATAGCAACCCCAATCCGTCCTTTTATAAAAGAATTTAT